GTGCTCAGGTGCAACAGACCTAAATTGCTCCAGCACAAACTTGTTTGTTGATAAGTGAAACCCTAAGAATGGGGTATGTTATGCATTGTGATGCTTACATTTGTGGCACTACGAACTCAGGAAACTGTCTTATATTGGTCCAAATAGCTCAGTGTTGTCCACAGAGCTAGAAGCTCTCCAGGGTTGGAGACAGGGGTCTGTCCCAGCCCTACATGGGAATTCCAGGGATTGAATTTACTTCAAATACAGGGGAGAAAGGTAACCCATAAAAAAGCAAAAGGGACAAGGAACAAAAAGCCAGCTTCTTCAGAACTCTGTACTTGGAAACCTCTTTCCTCTGTATTTTTAGAAGCTAAATTGATTCTGTAAAGATCACTCTCAGGGCAGCTGGGCAAAAGAACCCTGTCTCTCAAAGAAAATATAATTAAAGATAAAACAAATATTAATTTGAAGCCTCCTGGGATGGGAAGGTATTACTTAACCAGGCTCTGGAACAAGGGTCTTTCTCCAGGTTTCCTTAGACAAACAACTTGGCATGCTATTACAGGTAGAAAATGCCTCCAGAATTTCTTTTCCAAAGGTATGAAAAGACTCATGAAACTGAAAGACCTTTCTTCCCCTCTCTGAAGAAGGACCACGGGATGGAATGAATTTGCTCAAGGCCAAGGTCTGCTGTTTCCATTTCCAATAACTCTGCAAATCATCAATCCAAGCTGGCCTAACTGAAAATGGTTAATGCTGTGATGCAATTTTTTTTTAAGAAAACATGCTGATCAGTTAGTAATGTTGTGTGGCTTGAGCTTGCCTCAAGCAATGCAGATATTCCTGTCCATTGCTCACTCATAATTATTGTCCCTATTTACTGCTTTTCCTGTATTAAAATCAAGTTAGAATAAGCTACTTAAAAAAAGCACACACTCTACATTATGCTTCCAACCCTTTGACAGAACACAAGTTCAGACTTCTTGCCCATTCAGTAATCCATTTGTGGGTTAGCTGGGAACACACAGGTGTTCTATGAGGATCCCCATATGCCAGTGATGGGGAACCAGTAGCCGTCCAGGTGATGTCAGATACACTCCAACATCCCATACCCTCCTACATTTCTCTGATGAAAATAGGGACATCCTATTCAATAATAATAATAATAATAATAATAATAATAATAATAATAATATACTCTCCCCCCCATCTGACTTGCTTGCCCCAGCAACTCTGGGCAACTTGCAGCACATATAAAAACATAATGAAACATTAAACATTAAAAAACTTCCCTATAAAAGGCTTCCTTCAGATGTCTTCTAAAGGTTGTATAGTTACTTATCTCTTTGGCTCAGGGGTTGCATAACTCCATGGCCTCCAACATTTCTCTGGTGAAAATAGGGACATCCTAAGAAAAAGCGGGACATTCTATGATCAAATTAGTAACCAGGACAGCTTCTGTGATTCCGGGACTGTCGATGGAAAATAAGGAAACTTGGAGGGTCCTTATCATCATGGCTTTTTCCATTCAAGACCATGCCATGGCCTTTCCTTGTGAGACTGGCTCAATCTGGCCTGCACTGTTCTAAGGAGAGGTATCAAACCTTCCTAACATGTTCATGCATAAAGTCGGCTATTTAACAGTGCATGCTTAACTCTCCCGTTTCAAAGGCTCATTTCAATTTCATGGCTGAGTAAGAAGCTATGCCTCCCACTAACATCTTTAAATAATGGTGTTTTGGCAGAGCTCTGCACACTGAACCCTACTTAAGCGGGTGATTTGTTTGTTTTTGGCATTAGCAATCCAAAGGGCATTTGATGACACGGCTGCAAACAAAGGCCTGTCAGGAGGCTGTGCTTTATTGCTCTCCCCACCTCTCCAGTCAATATCTTGAAATACCTTTGGCAGTCACTGTATGTCTCCAAATTGGCATCTAGGCTCCAGGTCTGCCGAGACGTGTACACAATGCAATATATGCCCTGTTAAGTGGCAACACTTTACTTTTACAGAGGAATTAAAGTGTGTGGTTTAACAGCTTAAAGAAACAGGGTTGGTTATGGCTCTATTCAATTATCTCGTATTGTTTATTTCTTTTTTACTTACATATGTATCATAATTTTACACTAAACTATTTTACGTGATGTGTCATCATGCAAATGGGCAAGATTGAACTGGGCAAAACTTGATAGTGACTGAACTTTTTTCCTCCATCAAGCAAGACCAGCCAGGTTTGAACATGCAACAGGCTGAGGACACAGCTACATTAGTAAAAAAAAAAAGTGCAGCATTTAAAATGCGTTATAACACTGTGACTGGATATGGAACACCTGATTGGGTCAAAATTGGGAAAGGAGTACGACAAGGCTGTATATTGTCTCCCTGCTTATTTAACTTATATGCTGAAGAATGAAAACACAGAAGTGCCTACTGAAACAAAAGAGATAGGAGTTAACTTCCAGTTGTTTCATCCTGCGGCAAGGCCACCAGCCCTCCTGCACAACTGTCTCATCCATAACCCCATGTCACCCCAGAACAGTTACACTGTTCTGTGTTAATTTTTGGTGTTTTGTATTAATTCAGCAAAACGAAAAGCAAAAAATTTAACCACACAGAATAAACGTTTCTGCAGTGAGAAAATACATGGACTCTCCTCTGATGCTCAGTTCATATTTGCTGTGCGTTGCTTCTTAGAATGATTCTGCAGCCAGGTTCATTTGCTATCGTTTACCTTCAACAGGGTCTCTATATGCAGAGAGCTACTGGGCCCTGGCATTCAACAAAGAGGAAATTCTGTTGGGGAAATGGCATGGCAGGCAGCATAAGGACAGCTGTTGAAACTCTGGCAGGTGAGCAAAGCCCAGGCTAATCTTTTCCTTCCCTCCAGTCACTGGGACCTGGAAATGGAGATAGATGTTCTGCTACCGGGAAAGGTATGAGGAGAGAGTCTGCAGGGTTGCTGAAGCTCTAGCAGATGGGTAAAGCTGGAGTGCAGCTCATCCCTTTCCTTCTTCCAACTGCTGGACCATGGCAGTTAAGATGAAACTTCTTGGCTATCACATGATCTACAAATGCACATTCATGCATTATTTTATGAAACTGAAAGCCTATGAAGGAAGAAGAAATCTTAGTAGAGAAGGGATGGGGGCAACTTGTGGCACTCCAGATATTGTTGGAGTCCAATTCCCAGCTACGCCCAGCTGCCTAGTGCTGCTTAAAATCAAATTAAAGGGGAGACAAGGCATGTTGTTGCAGATATTAAATATTGCACAGTTTGAAGCGAGTGGAAGCAGATGAACTGACATATTTTCAGAAGAAAACACTTTCAAGGCCCATAAAAATATTATTCAAAGTTTATGTGCAGAACTCTTTTAAAATACAAAAGCAAAACAGTAAATGAACACCCAGATAATATCTTGTGTAGTCCAGCACAGGCTCTGATTATTAGAAAAAGATTCTAAAACTCCAAACGTGTCTCTCCCCCATTCCAGTCTGCTTTCCAGCTTCTAGGCTGCTCACTCTCCCTTCTGGAAATCTTCTTTTACATCTTCACTCCATTGAGTTTGGCAGAAAAGACTTAAAGGCAACTCCCTTCAAAATGGAGATTTGCAACTCAATACCTTCATTCGCTTTTGTATCTGGCCCCATCCACCACTGACACCCCACTCTCTTGGGGGCACCCAAAACATTAAAAGGAAAAAAACCTGAATGTACATTTCCAAAATATAAGGAAAAAACCAAATAAAATAAAACTTACATACAGCAACGGTGTTTTGTGTTGTGTAGGCTCCTATGATGTAAGTAATGGGCCCCGCCTGCTAGCCTGCTCCCTAAAATATCACTGGTTTGCTCATTTCTATATATAGGGTGCCTACATTCGGCATGGACTGGTTGCATGGCAACATGTGCAAATGGCTTTAGATACCTATTAGGTCCATAAATTACCATATAGCATATATTCAACACACAAAAATGGCGACAATTTGTTGTTGACAAAGGACAGCTGGACATATAAAGGCCCCCATTAGCTTCAGTAGCTTAGGGCCTCATCAAACCTAAATCTGGCCCTGATGAGAATCCAGCCTTCAGTCTGAAAATGGTTCCCCATTCCTGATTTAAGAAGTAAAGTACAGTTTTCTATATGTACAATTAAGTCCACTCAGGACCCTTGAAGACACTAGAGTGGTGACGGCTATGACTCGTTGTTCATTAATAGTCCTCGCTTTGTAAGCAATCCAATCAAATCCTTCATGCATATGGCTTTGAATAAGTGACTCTTATATTGATCACATCCTTCCAAATCAATTTTTGATTAGTCAAGTTCAATGCTTAATGAACCATGGCATACATGCAATTATGCTGCACTGCAGTTTGAGACCTAAATTCAGCAGCTTGCACTGGAAAGAAAACTCAAGCTCTGATGTAAGTAGAAGCAACATGAAGCTAGGAAAAAGAAATGGTTAGAATACAAAGAACGCATTCCAGTGCCTTTTCAAGTCTGAAGTTAACTTGTCGTATTCAAAACCATGCCGTTGTATTCAAAACAATGATTCCCCATTGTTTGTGTTGCAATATTGATCTTGTAATGGTTGGTCTTTTTTGGTGGATGATAGCAAATGATGGTTCTTCACCTTGGTGTGAAGCAGCTAACCAGCACAGATCAGCTATCATGTGTAGAACTTTCTTATCATGTGCACACTGTCTTTATCAGTAAGAGCCATCTTCAGTGTAATGGGCTGATCATGTGAAAACTACCATTCTGCATCATTCTAATCTAACTGGGGCGAATCTACACTCATGGTTTTTAACATTATGGAAGGGTTAAGGAATGATTTTCATAACGTAGATGGACTGAAGACATCCCACTTTTTACTCTACGATGTGTTATTACCTTGTCTTTTTTATCGCTTTTTTCATTGTTTTTCATTGTTTTATGCTGCTATATCAGTGAAACACTGCTCATATGCCCCCTTGTAGCATTTTACCTTTTTTACTGCATTCAGACTTCACATCTTATTTCTCCCTCCTTCCGGGTCCTTTGTTATCTGCACCCCTCCAATGATATTTGAGGAGCACAGATAACAAAGGACACAGTGGGAGGGAAGGAGAAATCAAATGTGGCACCAGAGAGTGGAACAAAGCGATCAACAACCACCAGCAGGGAAAGAAACAGAGTTTTGGAAAATGGCATGGCCAACTATTACTAACGTAGGACCAAAAAAAAAATGTAACAAATGATTTAATTCACAAGCATGCCCTGTGATGTATTAGAACAACATATCTAATATTGTTCTAATGGGGAAAAGAACATTAAACAGGCCAGTGTAGATCCAGCCTAGGGGCTAGTTCATAAAGTTGAATCTGTAAACTCACTCCAGGAAGAAACATTGCATTTTGAGGGGGATATAAAGTGATGTGAAAGATCTTTCTCTGGTGGCCCAATCACATATCCTGGTGTGGGGATGGGTAAGAGTGAGAGAAAGAGAAAGAGAGACTCGACCTCTGGTGGGAATCTCATTTAAACGCAGAGAAAGATTTTCAGCTGTTTCCAAACCACTAGCTTTCATCCGCTTACCATTCTAAGCTTATTAATCGACAATTTTATAAATAGATTGATTTATTTTCTACTGCAGAGGGCATTCTCTCACACAACTGCCCATCAATCCTCTCTGTATAATATCAATGAACTTCTCAGACTCTGAGTCCCTAGGGTAGAATGGTCTCAGATTCGTCCTCTCACCAACACTCCTGGCTCTGAAACGGAAACAAAAGAGCAAGTTGGAAACCAAGTGTAAGCCAGACTCAATTCTGAGAAGAGCCTCAAAAGGGTAGTAAGCTTCTCAAAGATGCCACAGGAGTTGGCAACAATGCTCATTCTTTGCGTGGCAAGTTAATTGATTTGCATGAGTGCGGCAACTGAGGACTAATCCAAAGTTCATTAAAGTTAATGAAAAATAACTGTGCAACCTTTAGGGCTTGCCTGCAGTTCTGCAGTTCCTCCATAGTAGTCACACTGGTTCAGCCAAAGGTGTTCTCCACTTACCCATGTTATCCTTTTTTTTTAAAAAAAAAAAGTATAATTAGAATGGTAATTATACTTGCTGGGAGGGAACTGAGGCTCAGATCAAGTGTATAGTTGGCCACTCACTGAACGTTAATTGAATTTGTATTGCTTGGAAACAGAGCCTAATGATGCAATGCTGTACACACTTTCTTAAGGGTAAGTCACACTGAATTCAGAGACTTCCTTCTGTATGAATATACATGAGAAAGGACTGCAACACACATTTTGCTTCCTTCAGCTTTGAGTGGGAGATGTTATGCCTGCCATATAGTTTTAGTTGAGTTTTAGCAATGCAAAAAGCTGTCCGTGGTGGACTTCGGGGTCTCAAATTTCAGCAGCGCCCTATGTGACGCTAAAATTCACCCTCCCACCTCTAAATAATAGTTGTGGTGTCCCCTGCAGCACCTTCAAGGCTCTGCCTCGAGTGCGACTGCACCGGTTACACTCCCCTAAATCCACCAAACTGGTCACACTCTCATAATCTGAAGCCAAAATTCTACACATACACACATCCGCTCCAAGAAGTGGGCAGACAGAAGATTTGGGAGGTTGCCAAGGTGATGGAGGGCATGATGTCACAGCAATATGTGCCATTAATTTTTTTTTTTTTTTTTTTAAGTCTAAAGGTGTACTGGGAACAAGAAGGAAGAAGTTGGGGCTGGCTGGAGAAGGCTGCACTGAGAGACAAGGAGTCATGATTGAGTGCTGCTTTGGAGAGACCAGGAGTCGTGACTGACAGCTGCTTTGCTGAAGCTATGAGAGGGGTGAAGACAGGAGTGCCTGGTGTGCTCTGGTCCATGGGGTCACGAAGAGTCGAACATGACTAAACCACTAAACAACAACATGAGAGGGGCAATGAGAGACACTCCTCCGGTATAATGTTCTGCAACCACTGAAGACTCCAGGTGTAAATCTGTGTAAAATAAACCATATTCCTTAAAGACGCTATATTTCCCCAATGGATACACAACACTGGGGGAGCGCCTGGAATCTCCTGGAATTTTGCTACTGCATGAAGAGATCGGGGGTGGTGCACAGCCTTCGTAACAACATGTTATCTCCATATCACCCTAGAAAGGGATTAAGAAGTTATTACTGGCAACCTTCCCTGAGCTAATTTTCATATAAATGTCAAGATAAGATGTAATAGAGGAGGCATTTTAAAGGATTCACATCACCTCCAGACATGACTGAAGATAAGCTCTAATTAGGTCACATGCATGATCTATTTGGGACTATTTAATAATTAAGCTGACATCACTACCCCTCCTTTTCTCTTCAAATGGCTCTGAGAGAAGAGCTTTAATTAAAGGTAAACCTATGCAAATCCTGAGTTAGATTATTTGAATGGTTTAAATTAACCTTCAGTACCATTTAAAAAGCAATTCAAGTTCTAAGGCATCATTATGTTGCCAGGGGTAGCATAAAGCAGACCCAGCAGTCACTCAAATGGGCTTTTTTGGGGGGCAGGGGGTGTCAGTATTTAAAAGGAGTTTATGAAAAACATACTTTGAACTCCAGAGTTTAGTTTCATTAGTTAGGAGACTAAAGGAAAGAAATGGATTTTGCAATATGGTGTGTGCACATGTGAATGTTTTCCTCCAGTAAATCCTTTAAAATAGGTAATCCGGAAAACATTTCATCAAACAACCAGAGATTTGGAGACATCACCACACCCCATCCTTTTCCACTCCAGATTATAAAGTTGTGTCAAAATCAAATTCCCACCAGGATTGCTCTCTGTGTTTTTATGATAGTTGTTGTTGTCCTAATGTTGCAGAAGCTGTGATGCTTTCAGATTAATTCAGTTGTATGCAAAGGTTATAGGCAAAGGTTGAGATATTTTCCATGGAACTATGCCTGTCTTACAAGTTGACAGTAAATTTTGGCTAGAAAGATATTGAAATTGTGTTTGCCTGAAAGAGATTGCCTAAATTGCTTTCCTTGCACATCCATTGACAGAACCTTGTGCCTCAGATCGGCCAAGAGGAAATCAGAACTCTGGCTGGGAAATGTAGTGGAAGTCTAACATTAAAATTCGTCCTTTCACTCATGATTATTTCATGGCTTCAAAGTGGCAGCTGGGATTAAAATTCTGGCTAGCTCAAATCTGCCTGTTTATCTTGTGTAATTAAAGTCAGGCTGATGGCAGCTGTGAATAAACAGTCCGTGTTCACAGATTTGGGGCTGTTTCCCACCTACAGGTTAATACTTAATGATTTCGATTTTCAGTGCTGACTCGTACATCTTCTGATTGCACTGATGCTACAGGTGACGCTCACCTATCCTCTCAAATGGAGGAATTTCCAAGGAAACGTATAAACTTACTCCACAGAATAGCATTGTGCTTTGCCATGATGTGCCTGACCCTGCTTAGCTTCTGAGATAACACGAGATTGAGTATATTCAGGGCAGTATGGCCATAGATGAGTACATATGAACATTTTGTCTGTGTTAACCCATTCACACCTGCCAGTCAGCAGATGATGTCATTTAGAATCATGTAGTAGCTAATAATAATAATAATAATAATATGCTGCCCATCTGATTGGGTTGCCCCAGCCACTCTGGGTAGCTTCCAACAGAATATTAAAAGCACAATAAAATATCAAACATAAAAACTTCCCTAAACAGGGCTGCCTTCAGATGTCTTCTAAAGGTTGTATAGTTACTTATCTCCTTGACATCTGATGGGAGGGCATTCCACAGGGAGGGCGTCACTACCGAGAAGGCCCTCTGCCTGGTTCCTGGCTTGCTTCTCGCAATGAGGGAACTGCCAGAAGGCCCTCGGCGCTGGACCTCAGCGTCCGGGCAGAGTGATGGGGGTGGAGACGCTCCTTCAGGTATACTGGGCCGAGGCCGTTTAGGGCTTTAAAGGTCAACACCAACACTTTGAATTGTGCTCGGAAACGTACTGGGAGCCAGTGTAGGTCTTTCAAGACCGGTGTTATGTGGTCTCGGCGGCCGCCCCCAGTCACCAGTCTAGCTGCCGCATTCTGGATTAATTGTAGTTTCCAGGTCACCTTCAAAGGTAGCCCCACGTAGAGCGCGTTGCAGTAGTCCAAGCGGGAGATAACTAGAGCATGCACCACTCTGGCGAGACAGTCCGCGGGCAGGTAGGGTCTCAGCCTGCGTACCAGGTGGAGTTGGTAGACAGCTGCCCTGGATACAGAATTGACCTGCGCCTCCATGGACAGCTGTGAGTCCAAAATGACTCCCAGACTGCGCACCTGGTCCTTCAGGGGCACAGTTACCCTATTCAGGACCAGGGAGTCCTCCACACCAGCCCGCCCCCTGTCCCTGTCCCCCAAAAACAATACTTCTGTCTTGTCAGGATTCAACTTCAATCCATTAGCCGCCATCCATCCTCCAACCGCCTCCAGGCACTCACACAGGACCTTCACCGCCTTCACTGGTTCTGATTTGAAAGAGAGGTAGAGCTGGGTATCATCTGCATATTGATGGACACCCAGTCCAAATCCCCTGATGATCTCTCCCAGCGGCTTCATATAGATGTTAAAAGCATGGGGAGAGGACGGAACCCTGAGGCACCCCACAAGTGAGGGCCCAGGGGTCTGAACACTCATCCCCCACCACCACTTTCTGAACACGGCCCAGGAGGAAGGAGCGAAACCACTGTATAACAGTGCCCCCAGCTCCCAGCCCCTCTAGACGGTCCAGAAGGATGTTATGGTCGATTGTATCAAAGGCCGCTGAGAGATCCAGCAGAACCAGGAAACAACTCTCACCTTTGTCCCTAGCTCGCCGGAGATCATCAACCAGCGCGACCAAGGCAGTTTCAGTCCCATGGTGAGGCCTGAATCCCGATTGGAAGGGATCCAAATGGTCCGCATCCTCCAGGCGTGCCTGGAGTTGTTCAGCAACCACGCGCTCAATCACCTTGCCCAAGAATGGAAGATTTGAGACTGGGCGATAGTTGGCCATACTGGCCGGGTCTAAAGATGGTTTTTAATAAGCGGTTTAATGACCGCCTCTTTCAGCGGATCTGGGAATGTTCCCTCACAGAGGGAACATTCAC